AAGACAAGCACCACCACATGGGAACATTAGTCGTTGATACAGAAAACAACCTAACTAAACTCGGTGCTCGTGATTCCTTAAAAGTCTCACACGTTCGCTGATATACAGTGTGAATGGGAAAAAGGATGTCTATAAAGTTGGCATTGATTTAGCAGTACCTGTAGATTTTTTTACTTTTCTAATTATTTCCTTTAAAACGATATATTTCCATAAACCCTTCGTAGTTAATTTTTCTTTTGTAATTACTATAATTTAATATACAAAATGAGGAATACAAGTATGGAACAAAATATCTTTTGCAATCTTAAAATTCCTTAATTGTATATATACAAAGATCTAAGCATCCTTTGTATGTTGGACTTTTGCATTGGTAATGCAAACTGAAACATATCTCAAGAGATTTTTACTTGTCAGTGTAAGATCTAATCAATTTTTTTTTTTAATTTCAGATTCTTTGAAAAATATAAAAATTCAATTATAGTTATAAGATTGAATGTCCTAAAAGAATAAAATTGGTTTCTATCAAATAATTTGTCTATTATAAACGATGTCTAGTTGTATTCAATGAATTGATCGATTGATTTCACTCCAACAGCACTCTATACAGTTTTTGTGCAATTTCTTAGAGCCAACATGATCCTGCACTTGTAAGGCAGCTTGAAGCTTATCTAAAGCTCAATGGAAATATTTCATTGATGGACTACTTGTCTTATCAAGACTTTATCAATTAGATTCTTAAAATTTTGTTAAATGGCGAAGAAAGTATCGGTATGGTGGATGAATTGGCAGATGTTCTAGATATGTTTCATTACACTCAATCATTCTTTGAATAGTATAAAAATTTAATTATAACTATAAGATTGAGTGTCATAGAAGAATAAAATTGGTTTTTATCAAAGATTTTGTCTATTATAAGCGATGTTTAGTTGTATTCAATGTATTGATCGATTGATTTCACTCCGTCAGCACTCTATACAGTTTTTTGTGCAATTTCTCAGAGCCAACATGATATTGCACTCGTAAGGCAGTTTGAAGCTTACCTAAAACTTAATATAAATATTTCAGTGGCAGACTACTTGTCTTATCAAGACTTTATCAATAAGATTCCTAAAAATTTGTTAAATGACAAAGAAATTATCAGTATGGTGGATGAATTGACAGATGTTCTAGATATTTTTCATTACACTCAATCATTCTTTGAATGGTATAAAAATTTAATTATAATTATAAAATTGAGTGTCCTAGAAGAATAAAATTTGTTTTTATCAAATATTTTGTCTATTACAAGCGATGACTAGTTGTATTTAATGTATTGATTGATTGATTTCACTCCATCAACACTTTCTCACAACCAACATGATCTTGCAATTCCTTTTGTTTCCTTGAACAGACAAAACGATGGCTCCAAATCATAACTGTAGAATGGTTGAGGCTCTCTTCTCAGAAGCCGAAAGCTATGTGATGGCTGAGGTGGTTAGGCTTGACACAGATGGTGGTGTATGTGGACGAAGCCCTAGAACTCATTGTTCTCAGCCGATCCACAACTGATTTTGATGGAAGGTGGAGTGTGAGAGGCAGTTCAACATGTGAAAACATGTTCACTATGTCCTCTACAACATTGCAGATGACCACAAAGGCGTTCTCTTCTTGAAGAACATATCTCATGTCTACGATATAGGCAAAGGATTCATACGGTTCATGTGGGGAAAAACGCACCCCAACGAGGTTCATAAAAATTTGGCCATTTCCTGAAAATCAAAACAAGTAGACATTTCGAAACTGAGAATCTAAGAACATGTAGTTACTGTGAAGGAACTTTGAGCAGAACCTAGAAGAAGAGGAAGGTGACCAAACCTAGAAGAAGCAATGTTGGCAAAAATAGAGGTTCTGATCACCCAAAAGCAGATTGAGAAGTCAGAGAAGATTCGGATGACTCTGACGACATTATATAGTAAGAGGTAGGTATCACTAAGGTTTTTGTTTTTTTGCAAAGCATATTGGCTTTTGTTACCTAAAAGGCTCACTATAAAGTCATGATTGAGTTTAAACATCATAAAAACTGATGGAAATTTGCTTCCAATTCGATTTATAAGACTTCATGCAGATGAAAAATACATATGAGGCTGAGTTTTAATTTAAAATTACTACTATGAAAAAAAGACATTGAACGACTTTAAAAAAAGTTAGAATTATGATTCATGGTTAATAAAGGACATACTTAGTGACTTTTAAAAAAAAAAATAGAATCAGAATTACAAAATTAAGCCATGGTTGAGATTGAAGATCATATTGATGAATATTTTTTTTCCAAATCCAATGTTTAAATCTTCCCGCAGATGAGATACAATCGTAAGTTAAGTATCATATATATATATGAGGCTGAATTTGAAATTTAGAATCAAGAATCATGGCTAGATATAAAGCATACTGAATGAATTAAAAATAAAAATCAAAGAATCATGGTTAGAAGTAGAACACATCTATTGAATTTAAAGAAAATCAGAATAAAATAACAAAGATTTCTTATCGAGCTAAGGAGTCTTGTATTATTTGTGGATTGAAAGTTAAAAAAACAATGAAGGATTGATGAAGAGAGAACACAAACTAAGAAAGATATATAATAGGAACCAAAATAGGAGATTAGTTTAGCTTTGGGATTGGGATGTGTGAGTAGGTTAAGCGTGAAATGTGTATTCTAAATAATTTTCGATTAGTATTATTTATGTATAACATGTATTCTGAACATAGTAGATTTAGGGGATTAGTGGAACTTAGATTTCTATAGAGTTTGTTGATTCTGAAAGTTGAGAGACTTATTAAATTTGGAAAGAGCTGTAGAAAATTTTGTATATTGTGAAAATCTATGAAAATAAAGTGATGTAATGATTTTAAGAATCCAAGGGAAATATGTAATATTCTAAAAATACTGTTTTGTGAGTTAAAATGTTAAGAATTCAACTCCCAATAACATTTACTTTAATAGATATGTAGCATCTACATCGATATTTTTTGTAGATTCATTAAAATCTAAACATTTTGAATAACAAATGAGTTTGTATAAAATTATAGAATCATCAAACCAATAACACTATATTTCAATAAGAATTTGAGAATCTATAAAACAATAACACTAGATTTGGAAATTCTAAGAATCATTATAAATCCAATTCTCACTAACACTCCCTTAATGAAAAATAGATTACATTTTCTACTTCGTAGAATGTCAATTCTACTTTATGTATAACAGAATCTAAAATTATGACTTAAACATTTTTAGAACTTGAAAAAAATATCACTAAATTGGTATATGTATTTCATCAGTAGTTACTATTTTTCCAAAATTTTTTGTTTGTAAAACTATGTATTTAATTTATTTTCCAAAACATTAAAACATTAAAGTGCATTAGAGGCAAAATAGTACCAAATAGAAATTAGTCTAATGAGACATAGTTACCATTTGTTGGTCTAAAAAACAAATTTCCCATTAATTTAGTGTAGTTCACGGCCTTACCAGAATATATCATATTTTATCATTTGTTCAACACCTTTGTTGCAAAAATTAGGGCATCTAAAAATATCCGGACCTGAAGAATTGATTCAAAACTGACCCGAAAATTAGGGTTCTGAATCTAATCGATCCGGGGCAAATAACCGAATGGATCCTTAATTGCTATATCCGAAGAACCAAGATCGAGCCTGATCCGAACCTAGAACCGAATGAGTATCCGAAGATATCTGAAATGTAAATATGTATCTAAAATATTTGTTTTAGTTATACTTATAATAGTTAAATCCTTTAGATTAAAACTATAAATTCAATATATTAGTTATTTTTAATACTTTTTGTGTATTATCGGATAAAATAAGATCCTTTGAATAGAAATACACAAACAAAACCGTGTTAAATAAGTATTTTTGGTTATTTTTTGATTTTGTAGTAATTTGGATACAAAATACGTGAACCGAATTGGATAATATAGTTATTTTAGTATAAATATCTGAACATGTTTCAGATACATTGGTTATTTAGTTATTTTCATATTCCTAGACATCAGAATTTAACCCACCCGGACCTAACTCCTATCCAACCCATAATTTTGTAATAATTGGATGGGGTCTAATTTGCCACAGTTAGAAAATAACTATTTTAACTGCCACAGTTAGAAAATAACTATTTTAACTGCCACACTTTTTTTTTGTTCGTAGTAATTTCTAATAATTCAAGGTAGTTTATAATAATTCAAGATAGTTTCTAGTAATTCATATTACACATAATACTGATTCATTAAGGGTTATTGATTTTTTAATCATATTTCGACTTTAAGAAAAAAAAAGAATCAAATTTATGATTGTGGTATATTGAATGAAGATGGGAGTGAGTGTGGCAATGTAGAGTCTAAATCCGAAAAATCCAATACCAAAAAAACTGTTACTCGAACGGGGGTTCTCGAATGCTCGGGTCTAGTAATCAGAAAAAAAGTGTTTGACGAACATTTATATGACCAAACGAGAATAGAATTATATTGACTGTATGCTGAGGTGTTTAATATAGTTTGGTTTCTCGACAGCAAATTATTTATTTAATGATTTTCCATCTAGAAGACATAAATTAAATCCGACCTAATTACACAAATCTTAACATAAGAAGACGATCCATATTTTACTAAACACGGTATGTATAAAAAAATACAAAATCAAAATTTAATTTAAGGAAATTACGGTTTCCTAGAAATTTGAAAAAATATTAAAAGAAGAAACATTTTCCCAAGTGGTCTTACCAGTAATAAGGAGAGAGAGAGCGATAAAGATGGGAGTGACTGAGTGAAGTGAGTTTCAAAAAAAATAAAATCAAAAATCAAAACAAGAAGCGAGCAAAGAGGAGGATCTCCCTCTTCTTATCTACTTAGATTCTTCAACCTTGCCTTCAAAAGCTTTGATCTTTCTTCTTAGAAACCCTAAAATCAGCATCCAAAGTTGATTACTTTACTTGCCGAGAAGCCATGGATTCCGGCGACCCAACATCTCTACTTTTAACCAAAATCAGAAGCTTGGAGCCAGACTACGCTCCGAAGATCATCGGTTATCTTCTCTTACAAGATTTCGAGGAGAAAGACTTGATGCATCTCGCTCTTGGACCTGAATCAGTCCTTCACTCCGTTGTTCTAAAAGTGAAAACTCACTTAGGACTTTTAACGAACACCTTATCTGCACCTTCTACACCTCCGTCTCCTTACCTTATCTCTCCACCACCAATTAACGGAAGAGGAGGAGGAGGGCTCTCTCACTCTAATGGCTTCATGGGTTTCCGACGAAACTCCCCGTCGTTGTCTCCTTCATTCAATCCTAGTAATGGAGTCTCTGCTACTGATTTACTTGATGATCAGAAGCTAAGTGATTGCCTTTCGTTTCTAGACGATTCGTGTGAGGAAACAGAGGATGAAAACGGAGAAACCCATCTGCATAGGAGGAGTTTCTCAGATGGTAATGGCGGTGTCACTGATTCTCAGGATAAAGTTGAAGACTTTGTTAGGGAAGAGGAGATGATGAGGTTGAAAATGGCTTATCAGAGGATTAGGCTTATTCCTCAGTTGCCATACGAGAAAAGAATGGACTTTCTATTGCATCAGCATGCTCATAGGTATATAATAGAACATGTTTGAGATTTTGGCTCTTTTGTTTTTTGTTAGTTTATTTAAAGTATTGAGTTTTTTTGTGTTTACTCCTTTGATGCAGAGATGGTGGAGTGTCTTTTGGTGATGAGAGATATTGGAGCAGCAGTCCAGGAAGGCTTGAGAGGATGGAGATAATGGCAATGCATTTTAATGATGTGTCAAACTCTGTAGCTAGACAGATTTACTTGACTTTCCCAGCTGAGAGCACGTTTAAGGATGAGGACGTTGCAACTTACTTTAGGTAACCATCTCTGCCCAACTAGTGTTGGATGAAGATTATATACTTCTTGTAGATTTATATGGATTTGTTTTTGTGTATGAAGCCTTTTCGGAACAGTGCAAGATGTGAGGATCCCACACCAACAGAAGCGTATGTTTGGCTTTGTTTCATTTGCACATCCTGAGACTGTGAAGGTTGTATTAGCTAGAGGGAATCCACATTTCATTTGCGACTCACGTGTTCTTGTAAAACCTTACAAAGAAAAAGGGAAAGCGTTGGATAAGTATGGCCCTTGACTTTTCTTTGTAATCTTTTCTTATAAATGTTTCAATGTGTCATTCATTGTAAATGAAGTGATCACAGGAAGCATCAGCATCTGCTACATCAGCAGATTGAACGTGGGAACTACTCTCCATGTTCCAGTCCATCTGGGATTGATCCTAGAGAACAGTCTGATTTCCAACTTGGTTAGTATCCAGTTTTGTTTCTTCTTAGGTGTGACGTTTTGAATTTTTTGTTAACTTGTTTCGTTTCTATGTGGTTAGGTTCGAAGTTGTTCTATGAGAGGCAGGAAATGATGAGAAGGAAAATGGAACAAGCTGATCTGCAGAGGGCTGAGTTTGAAAGGAGACGCTTCATTAATTTGCAGTTTCCTGAGTTTAAGAATAGTGTGGTGCCGCTGAATCATCATCGTAGCTTTTCTGTGGGGTCTCCTGGTTATTTTTCATCTGCCAGCTACCAAAGCCCTGATACTGCCGATGCTTTGGAAGGTTAGTAAACTTCACACTGTTATTTTTTTAATGTAAAAAGGTTAAAATATTGGCTGATCAACTAAGCTTCCAATCTCTTTATTGTTGTCTTTGTGTTGTGGTTGTAGTTGATGATACTACCACCGAGCTGCATCCTTACGCAGTAACCGACTCAAAGAGTATTAACAAGAATAATTATTCATACGGTGCAAAAGAAGGAACCAACGAGAGTGAAACGCTTGAACCAGACACTGGAAGCACTATAGAGCTTGTTCTTCCTAGTAACCTCTTCCCTTCTGCAATATCTACCGATGATTCTGCAGAAACTAATGCAAAAGCTGGAGTCTCTGTTTCTTCTACTAATGGAAATGACCATGTATCACTACCCACTACCAGTAACCTGACGCAGTAGGCTTATTTCACCTCATAAATGCCAAGGTTAGTGAACTCTCTAATTCATTCTCCAACTTTCTTTCAATCTTATATATAGATAACAAACCCTCTTAATTTGAACTCAGTTTATTTTTTATTCTTGTGTATAAGATGAGGCTACATGTAGTGAGTTCATTCATGCTCTTAACATTTTCTTGATTTTGGATTTGTGCAGACAAATATAAAAAAACAAACACAAGGAAGTAGGATAATGTATATGTAAAGCTAAGTTTATATATTAATGGAGAAGAGAAAGAAGGTAGGAGAGATGATAACATTTTAATGAAGATCGCAAGTTTCGTGTGGTAATACTCTATACTAACTAACAATTGGATGCGTTGGAGATACTCAAAAGAAAGAAGACAAATCTATCTATATGGTAACTTTCTGTTGTGCTATTATTTCTCTTTGCTTGGGGTAGCTGAAACCACAAGAGTCTCTGATGTACCAAAGAAGAATAGAAGGTTCTGTAATTTTATATATTTAAAGTATTAAGCCGTTTCTTATAGTAGTAAAAAAAAGTGTTGAAGGGCTCCTAAACAGACATGTAGGAAATGAAGACAGAATACATTTTAGAGATCTCAAATGGCACTTTAAATTACTTTGGTATGTCTTGGTCGACATTGGACGAACGAACCAACACTACAAGTTTGCAACTACTTTTGACACTAAAATAGTTGCCTCTTCAAGTAACATCACTCTTGGCTAGGCAATCTCCACGGTAACCTTATTGTCAACACTTCTTTTGTAGGTGGTGTGTTAAATTTATAAATTTAATAACTGAGTAGACATGTGGCATCAAAGTCTTTTGTTGTGCTTTAGTTGATGGTCAATCAAAGTCACATTGAATGTCAAAGTTTTACCGTTACTATGGTTAGAAAATTACTATACTTTTTCAACCCTGACCACTTGTAATTTTCTGTTTTTTTAGTGGATGCATGTGCCTTTATAAATGCCATCTAGTCTATCCAGGACCGGCTTAACATTCTTATGGACCCTAGAGTAAAAAAAAAATTTTAGCCTTTAAATTTATATTAATTTAATATTTTCTATATCTTTTTTTTTCTTCTAAAAATTAATCATTAATATTTTATGATGAAAAAAAAATTCTATACACATAAAAATTTTTGGACCCCATTTTAAATTCATTTACTAAAAATTTGAAATTTTCTATATACAATTATGTATAAATTAAAATTTTTGGACCTCTTACCTATTAATATACAGGGGACAGGAACTTAGTCCCGGGGCGATCTAGTCTGTCCCCCCAATTAGCCGGTCCTGAGTCTATCTATATCTACTCCTATCTACTTCATAAATAACAATAGAACAAGAGGGAAGAACACAAGCATCGAAACTCGAACTTGAAAGAGAGAATGACGGAGGAGGAGCCTCTCAGCCCGATGGCGTGTGTATTCCAATCGCCAGACGTAGACTTATACGTCGTCACCATCATTGGCTTCAAAACCAAGATTTGTACGGACGTCGTTCTTGATGCCTTGAAGCGTAATGTCTCCAAGCATCCTCGTTTCTCCTCCAACCTGGTACCAACACATACACATATACAGTATTAACATTACTATATTCGAACAAAAACAAATCTATAACTACTTCTTATTGAATTGTTATATTTCAAATATTTCTATAAGTGGATCTCCTTGTTTAAAGAACAAATTAATAACACATCAATATGTATATATATATATATATATATATATATATATATATATATATACTCAAAAAGTTTTGCAGCTGGCTTCTAAATAATTTACGATAATCCTCTTTTTATACATATTTTCCCCTAAAATTCAACTTGGGATATGCTTGTGTTTGGTCTTCGTAGTCTGAGAATGGTGCAACATGGATAAAGACTGAAGTCAATGTAGAAGACCATGTAGCTATACCATACATTGATTCAGAAGAGATAGGTGAAGATGGACAATGCTTTGTCGATGACTATATCTCACGTCTCACAATGATTCCTCTTGATAGATCAATACCCTTGTGGGACATGCACATCCTTAACGTCAAAACCTCAGATGCCGAAGCAGTATGTGTAGTTAGAACTCACCACTCGTTGGGAGATGCAACATCATTGATTTCCCTCATGCTTGCATGTACCCATAAGACTTCATCAGACCCCAAAGATACTGACATTCCTTCCTTGAAACGGCGTGAAACGGTGCCGCATGCAGGCCTTAGAAAACAAGGCTGGTTCTTAAGGTTGATATTTACCGTTTGTTCTATAGTGACACTGCTTTGGAACACACTTGTAGATATGTTGCTTGTTTTGGCGACTGTCTTGTTTTTGAAGGATACAAATACACCTTTAAAAGGTGGCGCAGATGTTGGGAGAAAGCCAAAGAGATTTTATCACAGAGCTATCTCTTTCGATGACATAAAACTTATAAAGAACGCTATGAATATGGTACGTTATGTACACTTTCTCTTCATAACTGTAATTTGAGGGTTACTCGTTGATATATATATAGCACAGTGGATTTTTAACTCATCTTTCGAATGTTTCTAGACTATCAACGATGTTCTAGTGGGAGTTACACAAGCTGCTCTTTCTACTTATTTGAACCGACTATATGGTAAATATAAATTCAGTAAATGATGTATTAATAAAAATATGTTCAAGAAAAATATGATATATTATTAAGACTTCTTCTTACTGTTAACGTCCTAGCCTTAAATTTAATCCTAATATAATAAAAGATATACATACGTGTTGGATCAATATCTAATGTTTCACACGTGTACATTTTTGTTTCTTGATAAACAAGGTAACAAGAAAGAAGAAGAGGATGGAACATTGACATCGTATCCGAACCATCTTCCAGATAGGCTACGTTTCCGTGTAGGTTGTGCAGTAAATCTGAGGTCGGACACTGGATTAAAGGTTAGTTATCATATATATATATATTGACCTCGTCAAGCTTGTATTGTTGTCATTGACGGTTGGACTAGGTTAGTTATCATATATCTCTATAATATTATTTGAGAAGTTAGTTTCCTACGTGTCGCGCTCACGTTAACTCTCACGATGGTTGATTACATAGATACTCTTAATGATTTGTTAGATTTTAAAATTATTTTTTTTTTATTTAGTTTTTGTACCTTTTTCCAAATAACATATACAATAAAAAGGAAATATTTCTAAAATTTTAAAACAAATTTTAAAAACGAAAATATATGTATATAATATGACTTTATTAAAACGGAAAGTTCACAAAATAGCAATATCCCATTAATATATATTTTAAAATAACATAAAATATATTTTCAAAATAATAAAAATATATATGTTCATGAACATCCAAAAACTTATCAGTTGCACTATATTTTCTAATATTATTTAGAAATCAACATATAATTTGATAAATATTATGAAAATACATGTATATTTAAGCGATAACTAAAACTAATTTGATTTGACTTAACTAAAATAAATACTAATAAATATTATGAAAATACATGTATATTTAAGCGATAAATAAAACTAATTTGATTTGACTTAACTAAAATAAAAAGTAATTATTCTTCAATTTTAATTTAAAAATATATTATATTCAATATACTTACAAAATGAATGACTCGGCTAATCTAATTTATATTCAAAATTAATCAACTAACTACAATAAGAACATATAATTTTATAATAATAATAATAATATTAATAATCTATTTAGTTTTATACATATAAACTAGATGTTGACCCAAAGCATATTAAAAAGAAAAAGAAAATATTAACCAATTACAATTTAATTCTTTTTAGAATTTATATATATGCATGCGACTTCAAAATATTATCATTATATTCATTTATGTAATTTTGAATTAAACACTTCAGCTTATTATTTATTTTATTTTAAGCACAATATATATATATATATATATTAAGTTATACATAATTTAACTATAATATATTTACATATCTAAGAATATATTTACATATATAAAGACAATAACCATCCGAAATGAAAATAAGAAAATTAATCAAAGTTTTATTATATTTAGAATAAAAAATATTATAGCTGAATTCAAAAAATAAATATTATCTAATATACCAAATTG